TTATTACTGAAGCCCAACAGCCAGACCATGTTCATAGGTTCAGCACACTAAAGCATGGAATTCATATCTGACTGCACAAATACACCTTCATAACTCTATTTTTATAGCCTTTATGCATTTAAAACGAACTGACTGACAAACAAATACATCAACAAATCAATAGGTTCACATTGTGATTAGGAACAAAGCGCACCAAAACTACATCTGTTTTGATTAAGATTTGATGCAAATTGATTGTACGCCAAAAAAGTGATGATGGTTGCACCTACTGGTCCTCAATGATGTCCTGACAGGAGGTGGAGATGATGTAACCAGCCGTAGAAGCCATAATAGCTTGGATGGATGACACCAACCTTAAAAATATAACAATACACGTAAGTGCTGCCAATGCGTTTGAATGTTTTCATGGTGTGATATATAGTGAAGTCCAAAAGTCTCAGACCACATTGATCTTTTGATCTATCCAAAGACTGTTTGGTCGCAACAAACTGAAATGTTACTATCTACTCATGGCCAAACCGAAGCCATGTTTAAGCCCGTGCAAGTGTTTTTTACCTGGCTGAAACAATGACGGCATCGCCCTCATTCCACCGCAGTCCCGGGATGGATTTGAGACACTGCTTGGACAAGAGGAAAAGGCCCGGGAAAAACACAGACCCCGCCGCTAAGATGGACAACATGGTCCCTCGTAGGTGAACTCCGAGATTACCGCGGTCAAAAAAGCCCCCCACAGTCCTCCTGTCCGGCTCCCGCTTCTGCAACCGAACACAGGGTTATGAATAAACAAACGAATGGCAAGCAAGTAGCTGATCAAATTGGAAGAGCGATTATAAAGAACAGCTCTTATCTCAAACAAGGAAGGGAAAATGGATTCTCCTGAGTCTGAATTGTGTTGCATAAACCAAGTTATTATGTACGCCCCATATGGTACCACATGTGGCCAGTCACAAGCAACATAAGTCTAACACATGCAAACCGAGTCACATGTCACAGCCAGAATCAGAGTCAATAATATCCTGCTTTTTTTGTTGTTGCCCTGAATCACACATGCCCTTTATTAATACAAAACCACCTACTGTAAATGTTTAATGATGACCGTTACTGAACACAAAGTATGCACAATGCATTATGCATGAACAATACACTAAATAAATGCATTACATACATACTAAAATTCATTACCTGGGATAATTGGCATGTGAGAGTGCAGACTTGCACTCTTCAAACTATTTTATGAATTTGACACATAGTAACAAGAACACAAATATGTTGAATATTCCCAGTAAAATGGAAATTATATATA